GCATGCATGCACATGCGCCTGGCGTGAGTTTAAGCCACTGGGTCCGGGACTCGAACCGTGGTCGACTATGTGGGAGTCCAGCGACATAGTCATTACACTAACTGCTGGTCCCAGTAATTTTTCTTTTCAAGAAAGAAACTATACTAGATTTTCATATTAGAGAAACAATCTTATTTTTAAAATAATGTTTATTTTTGGGACCAGCAGATGGTGTAATGGTTACGTTGCTGGAATCCCACATGGCTGACTACAGTTCGAGTCGCAGTCCCATGGAATGCACATGCACTCAGTGTGAGTTTAAGCCACTTTGTTCAGGACTCAAGCTGCAGTCAACTACATGGGAGTCCAGTGACATAGCCATTACACCAACTGCTAGTCCCAATGGTATGTTATATATTGATGGAAAACATTTTAAATATTTTAAGTAAACTAATAAATTTGGATTATCTGACTTAGATAAAAGCATTTTTAAAATGTCACTTACTTCTAGTACTCATTTGCTGTAATCCAAGAGGTCAGACCAAATTTGTGGGAAGAAGGGGAGGTATTACACTTTCCTATTTATTTTTCCAAATCATTGAAATAGATATATTTCTAAAATGTATTCATGAACATCTTTTGTATATCTCTTCCTAGGTATTCCAGTTATTAACTGATCTGAAAGAACAGCGTAAAGAAAGTGGAAAGAATAAACACAGTTTTGGCCAACAGAACTTGAATACTATCACCTATGAAGTAAGGAGGGCCTACCTAAGCTACCAGGGAGGGAGATTGGTTTATCTGCTGATGACTGGTCACCAAATCAAGATTACCCCTTATCTAAATTGAATAGTTTTACTGTAATCCTTTTATTTTTTTTTTTTAAGTTTGTTATAGGGTGCATGTGCTTGCTGGATAGAAACATAGAAATAGAATGAGAGAGAACATGAGAAAGCATCCTTCAGGTGGGGCCTGCAGGTGGTGTGGTAGTTAAAGTGCTGAATTCTGACATGGCTGACCACATTTTGAGACCCAGACCTAGCAGTTTGAAAATCACTGGGCATGTGCACATGTGTACCCCAAATCCCAGGAGAATGGAGAAAGGACTGTAACATAGCTATCCCCTTGAAGGGTGATTTCTCACTTTTCCTCTCTCTGGTGAGTGCATGCACCCTATGGCAAAAACCTAAAAAAAAAAAAAAGTCTGTTAAGACTATTCTCTCTTCTAAATGGCCAATGGCAAGTCTAGTATCCTCATCTTGAGCAACTCTCAGGTTTACTAATCTCCTGGGAGAACCAATAGAACTCACTGACAGCCATCATTTTCATGGTTAAAGTTTATTGTAAGGAGATGATACAGATTAAAATTAACCAAGGAAAGAAGCAAATACGGTAAGTCCAAGAAATACCGAATGCACAACTTGTGTTGTTCTTTTCTGTGGAGTCAGGACACGTTACTCTCTTGAAATTGATGCCAGACGATATGCATGGAATATTGCCAACTGGAAGGCTGAGCCTTGGTGTCCATAGTTCGTACAAGTGACCAGCTTCCAGTCGAAAACTATGCAAGTGAGATCATCCTTTACCCTAAGTCACATTGTTAAGACTATCCAGTATGACCTAAGGGAGAGGTACTCTTAGGTATAACATTCAAGGGCCTGGATACTGCTTTCTAGAAGCAAAGGCTGGAATCTTTTATAACACAAAAAGTAATATGTTTTATTGGGAACCAGCAGTTAGCGTAATGGCTATGTTGCTGGACTCCCACGTTGTCGACCGCGGTTCGTGTCCCAGACCCGGTGGCTTAAAACTCACGCCGGGCGCGTGTGCGTGCGTGCCCAAGATCCCAAGAGGAGAATGGAGGAGAAGGGATTGCGGCGTGACCATCCCCCCTGGGGGGGGCGATTTCTTGCTTTCTGTCTCTATGTTTCTCTCTGTCTGTTTGGCAAGCGCACGCGCCTTATAGCGAAAACCTCTCAAAAAAAAAAGAAAGTAATATGTTTTATTGTAGAAAGCTCAGGAACTACTAAAAGCATAAAGAAGAAAGCAAAAGTAATTCATAATCTTAATATCTTTAAAAAATTTTTTTTAGAATTATTTAATTTATTGCCTTATTTTATTTTAATTTGACCAGAAAGAGAGAAAGAGAGAGAAAGTGAGAAAGCAAGCCACCAGGTCCAAGACTATGGTTGACCATGTGGGAGTGTCTAGCACCTTAACCACCACGCCACCTGCTTGTCCCCATAATCTTAATATCTTATTGACATTTTTCTGTGTTCTCACACAGCTTTGCTTTGTCTTTAGAAAGGAAAGTTTATTTTAGAGAGAGAGATTTTTGCTGTAGAGTACATGCACTCACCAGAGAAACAGAAAAACAAAGCGAGAAATCATCTCCAGGGAGGATGCCATGACATAGTCCCTTTTCTTCCATTCTCCTCTAGAGATTTTGGGCATGTGTGCACATACGCTGGGGGTGTTTCAAGCCTCCAGGTCCAGTATTCAAACCACAGTTGACCATGCGATAGTCTAGCAACATAACCATTATGCCGTCTGTTGGTCCCTATAAAAGAAAGTTTAAGCTATTGCATTTGTATATACAATGTTTGATTTTCTATCTGTCGTTTTAATTTAATGCTGTGTTGCTATTTCCTTTCAGTTCTGATTTTTGCCTCTAATCCTAGAGGATTTAGTTTAAATTATCTTTATCTCTTCACAGATATTGTTGAACTTAAATGATCATAATTTCTTTTAAGGAAAATAAGGGATTTCGCACTTTTGTCACCACTCCTCCCTACTCAACTATGTTCGTTTAATCATGTGCTTAAAACCATATTATTTATTTGTTAATTTTCTCTTACATTATATAGTTCATCTGTCTCACGAAGGAGAATATTAATTAGTAATTAGTTTTATAACTAAATTTCAAACTGTCAAGTTCTCAACTATTGGGTCATTGGAAAAGTTATGAAACATTTTTGCATAGAAAAACAGAAAAATATATCATGACTTTTCTAATGACCCAATATATATGAGGAATATAGTATGAAAAAATATGCATGGATTTTAAAATTTGTCCACCAAAACAAACTTATATTTTAATTCCATTTTCCACAAACTTTTTAAAGTCCTTTTATACTCAGGCCAGTTTAAATTCACTGGCATTTTATTCTTCCTTCAGCTCTTACTGTAATTCATGGTTCCTTAAGGGAAGTTATTGTGGTATTACATGTTTTGAAACTTTTAATTTCTGGAGAGGTTTTTTTTGTTTTTTTTTTTTTGTTTGTTTTGCTATAGGGCGTGTGTGCCCACCAGACAGACAGAGAGAGACAGAGAGACAGGACTCGACCCCCCAGGGGAGATGGCCACGCCGCAATCCCTTCTCCTCCATTCTCCTCTTGGGATCTTGGGCACGCACGCACATGCACCTGGTGTGAGTTTAAGCCACTGGGTCCAGGACTCGAACCGCGGTCGACTATGTGGGAGTCCAGCGACATAACTATTACGCTAACTTCTGGTCCTGAAACTTTTTATTTCTGAAAATACATATTTCTAGGTTTTTTTCTTTAAAGAATTATTTATTTAAGGGATCAGTAGATGGCAGAGTGGAAAAGGAAGTGGACTCCCATGTAGTCAACTCTGGTTTGAGTTTTGGACCTGGTGGCTTAAAACTCACGCTGAGTACATGTGCATGTGTACCCAAAATCCCAAGAGGAGAATGGAGGAGAAAGGATTATGGTGTGACCATCCCCCTGGAGAGTGATTTCTCACTTTCTGTCTTTCTGTCTCTCCAGCAAATGCACGCACCCTATAGCAAAAATCTGTCTCAAAAAAATTATTTAATTTATTATTACTATTAAATTCGTTATAGGGCAGGTGCACTCACCAGAAAGAGAAGAAAGTGAGAAAGCAAATCTGTGTGAGGGCCATTGCCTCCACTACCACACCGCCTGCTGGCCCCTATTTGTAGTGTTCTTAAAGTGAGTGACTGCCTAGATATGGAGTTCCTGGGTTCAGTGTTATTCTACAGGGCTCTGTAGGTATTATGTTGTCTGTTAGTATTTATCGTGGAAGAATCTGAGACCAATGTGGATTTTGCACTTTTGAGAGACTCTTAACATAGATGTACTAGGTTACTGTTTATTTTTTCAGGTTTGAAATTCCTCCAGAGTATGTCTAGGTGTGGGATTCCCTCTTTTTAATTTTCTTTTTTCTCTTTTAAGCTTTTCTGTAAAAATAAGTTTACTGGGGACCAGCAGTTAGCGTAATGGCTCTATCGCTGGACTCCCACGTAGTTGACTGCGGTTTGAGTCCCAGACCCGGTGGCTTAAAACTCACACTGGGCACGTATGCTTATGTGCCCAAGATCCCGAGAGGAGAATGGAGGAGAAGGGATTGCAGCATGGCCATCCCTCCTGGGGGGCGATTTCTCGCTTTCTGTCTCTCTGTCTCTCTCTGTCTGTCTAGCAAGCTCATGCGCTCTATAGGAAAAACTTCTCAAAAAAAAAAAAAGTTTACTCTTACAGAAGAGTGATAGACACAGGGCTAAGAGTTCTCATGTACTGTTTCTACAGCTTTCTGTAATATTAATATCTTTCATAACCATGATAGAATTGTCAAAACTAAGAAATTATCCTTGGTACTTATTATTAAATGTAAGATTTTATTTACTTTTCTTGTTTTTATACTACTGTCATTTTTCTGTTCCAGGAACTGATCCAGGATACCTTTGTGTTCATTGTAGTTAACATGTCTCCTTAATGTCATCCTGTCTGCCTTTCCTTGTCTTTTACAACCTCGACACTTCTGAAGAGTACCGGTCAGATATTGTATAGAATGTTCTTTGATTTGCATTTCATGTTTTCCCAGGATTAATCTGAATTTATGGCTTTTGGGAAGAAATACCAAAGAAGTATTAACTTCGATCATTTGGATAAGATGTCTATTTTTTCCACTGTCAAGTTACTGTTTTTCTATTTCCCTGTTTTGTTAGTTATTAAATAGAAAGGATTCACCAAGTCCAGCCTACATTCAAGAAGGGGCTTCTCCTTTACTTCTTTTTTTTTTTTTTTTTTTTTTTTTAAGAATTATTGAATTTTTTTAACATATGTATGTATTTCTTTTTATCTGACCAGAGAGAGTAGAAGAATGAAAGTGAGAAAGCAAGCCTCCAGGTCTGGGACTTGAACTATGGTTGGCATGTGGGAGTCCAGCATCTTAACCAGCATGCCACCTACTGACCCCAAGCTTTACGTCTTGAAGGGAGGGATAGCAAAGAATTTGTGGACATATGTTAAAACCAACATAGTAATAAATAAGTATTTCAGGGGAGATGCTTTGATGTAAATATCCTACTATTTCTTAAGTTTTTAATCATTTATTTTAGCATTCATCAGTGTATCTTTTTCCTGTGGTAATTATTACTATGGTGTAATTGCCTAATAGCGGTTTTTAAAATTTTTTTCATTAATTTCATGTTTTCTAATTAGAATTCTTCTATAAGAAAGAATTGTCCCTTGGGGCTGGCAGGTGGCATGGTGGTTGAGTATGCTGGACTCCCACATGGCCAGCTGCAGTTCGAATCCCAGACCTGGCGCTTGCTTGCTCACTTTCTCTCTCTCTCTCTTTCTCACTTTGTCCCTCTCTGGTCAAATAAATAAATAAATAATGTTAAATAAAATAATTCTTTTTTAAAAAAAGAGTTGTCCCTTCTTAGGCATTTATTTATCTATTTATTCAGTCATTCATAAATATATGTATGTAATAAATATATGTGTGTGTGTATATATGGACTCAATGTCTATTATTCCATGGGTTTCTTCTGTTTAAAAATTTGTATGAAATATGGTAACACAGTTGTCAGGCTGAATTTTTTGTTTTGTTTGTTTGTTTGTTTGTTTAATTTGACCAGAGAGAGACACAGAGAAGGAAAGACAGAGAGGGAAAGTGAGAAAAGAAGCCACCAGGTCCGGGACTTGAACCATGGTCGGCCATGTCCAGCACCTTAACCACCATGCTACCTGCTGGTCCCCAGGTTGAGTTTTTTGACTTAGGTTCTTGAGATCAGTAAAGTTTTCTTCTCAAATTTCATGAATTATTCTTTCTATTCTGGTTACTGGCTTTCTCATTCATGAGCATTTATTTTTATGAAGATTGGTTCTCCTAAGGCTTGTGTTCTACAGAGGATTTTGAAAACAAAATTTTAAAATATTAGATTATAGCCATTGACTCTTTTCTCATTCAGAATTCTTTGTCTTATATTTGCATTTTTCTCTTTTGTAGACATTAAAATACATATCAAAAACACCATGTAGGCACCAGAGTCCTGAGATTGTCAGAGAATTTCTTACAGCAATGAAAAGCCACAAGTTGACCAAGTAAGTAAAGTAGGAATAATTATTTTAAGTAGGAATAATATGATACATAACAAAAATGATAGCTTAGAAAACCTTTTCATCCTGGGCATGTGTGCGTACATGCCCAGAATCCCAAGAGGAGGCTGGAGGAGAAGGGATTGTGGTGTGGCCATCCCTTCATGGGGGTGATTTTTTGCTTTCTATTTCTCTTTGTTCTATGGCAAGTGCACATGCCCTATAGCAAAAATCTCTCTCCAAAAAAAAACTTTTCATCTTCAGCAACTGTGTATTATATTTAGTTGGGTTTTGGATTTATAGTTCACATGAGTGTTCTCTCTCTATCTATCTATCTATCTATCTATCTATCTATATTTATGTGTGTGTATATGTCAGTTATTTAATTAGGTTCTTGGCAAGAAATTTAGAATACCAATTTGTGAGGATAAACTCCATCTGTAAGGGCTAACGTGGATTGCAGGTAGTCCTGGAGCTGAGGAACAGCTTTGATTTTTTTTTTTTTGGTAAAATGTACAAGTTCACATCCTTCTGATCAATCCCGTGTTGCCCTATAATCTCATATTTCTCTTTCTTCATGTCAGAGATCTTACCTTTTTGGTTTCTGGCTTCCACAGCTTCTTTTTCTTGAATTAAGTGTCAATGAGATGTTTTGGGATTTTTATTTTGCTAATATCAATTTTCATGAGGGTGATGATGACAAATTACTGGTGTGTTCTACACAGTGGAACTTGATCGAGGACTAGAAGTTCAGACACAAGTAGCAAGCCACTGCTCAGCTGCTTCAGGAAAACCACTTTCTTGCCTCTGTGGTGTCCAGTGAGGGTGGTCAGAATAGTTCTGGGAGTGAAGCTAGCTCACAGATCTCTCACATGCTGACTGAAGGGTTTTTTTGCTGTGGCTCAACAGCTTCTGAGGCACATCTTCAGTAAGATAAAACGTAGGCATTTTGCGAAGTTTAACCACCCTAGCACCACTATGCTTGTCATCACCAACTGTCCATTTTGTGACAGAAAGAAACTTTTTCTTTTTAATCCTGGATTTCGTGACTGAGTATTCCCTCTGTACATGGTCTTCCTAAAATATGTGGCAGATTGGGAGTATCTGCCAGTTTCTCGGATTAGGACCAGGTTTGGGGTTTCTCGTTTTTGGACTTTGTAGTCTTAGGGACACCTATTTTTTCCCCCGCAAGGTGCATACACTCAGGGGAGAGACAGCAAAACAGTGAAAGGGAAAGTGAGAAATCATCCTTCCCCAGGGGGAATAGCCATGTCATAATATCTTCTCCTTCATGTTCTTCTTAGGGTTCTAGGCATACATTCACATGTGCCTGGTGTGATTTTTTAATTTAAGACTTACTTATTTCATTTTATTTATTATTATTTTTTAATTTGCTATAGGGAACATGCATGCATTCACCAAAGAGAGAGAGAAAGTCAGAGAGCAAGCCACCAGGTCTGGGACTCAAACCACAGTCGGCTATGTGGAAGTCCATTTCCTTTACTACCATACCACCAGCTGGCCGCCCTGTGTGATTTTTAAGCTGCCAGGTCCATCTAGGACTCAAACCGTGTTTAGTCATGTAGGAATCTAGTGTCATAAGTACTGTGCCAACTGCTGGCTCCTTGGAGGGATCACCTTTTTTGCACGTGCGCACACTCACACACACATTTATTTGTTTGTTGGATTTTCAAGCTGCTGGATCCAGGATTCAGACTGTGGTTTGCCATGTGGGAATCGAGTGCCTTTACGACCATTCTACCTGCTGGCTCTGGGGTCACCTTTTATAACCTTGCCTTCTCGGCTTCTCATTTCTTCTCCTTAGTATCCAGCTTCTCAGCTTTCTCACCTGCTATCTTGTTTAATGGGTAAGAGCCACATAAGTGGTCTTTTAAAATAGGGTTATGATATTTATAGATGAGACAACTCAGACCTAAGTCCTTTCTAGAGCCTGGAACAGAACTTAGTATTTCTTGGAGTCCTGGTTCATTGACCTATTTCTTTACCTGCCTCAGCATTGAAAACAAGTTGGATAAAAAGTGAAGTTCACAAAGTAACTTACTTTTTATAAAGTTTATCGGGACCAGCAGATAGCATATTGGTTACATCATTGGACTCCCACATAGCCAACTTGGTTTGAGTCCCCATCCAGGGGCTTGAAACTCACACCAGCACATGTATGTGCATATATGCCCAAGATCCTGAGAGGAGAATGGAGGAGAAGGGATTGTGGCATGGCAGGCTCGCTAAGAGGTGATTTCTTGCTTTCTGTCTCTGTCTCTCCAGTGAGAGTACATGCTTTATAGCAAAAATCTCTCAAAAAAAATAGTTTATCAGTATAGTCTCTTAATATTTGTATTTGCTGCAAAAGTGGCTCAATAATTTTCTTTTTCAGTATCCAGTTACTTTCTCTTTTTTTTAGAGTTTTTTTTTTTTTTACTATAAAGCATGTGTGCTTGCCAGAGACCAAAAGTGAGAAATCACCCCCCAGAAGCATAGCCACACTGTAATCCCTTCTCTTCTATTCTCCTCTCAGCATTTTTGCCATGCATGCACATATGCCCTGTGCAAGTTTTAAGCTGCCGAGTCTAGGATTCGAACCATGGTCAACTACATGGGAGTCCAATGATGTACCCATTACTCCATCTGCTGGTTCCCTCAGTTACTTTTCTTGGTGACTTTGAAAATCAAGCTGGGGGACTGGCAGGTGGCATGGTGGTTGAGGGTGCTGTATTCTCACAGGGCGGACTGCGGTTTGAGTCCTGAACCTGGCAGCTTGCTTTCTCTCTTTCTCTCTTTCTCTCTCTCTGTCTCTCTTTCTCCCCCTCTGTCTCTCATTCTGTCCCTCTCTGGTTAGATAGATAGATAGATAAATAAAGTTAAATAAAATAATTCTTAAAAAAACCCCCAAAAAACAGAAAATCAAGCTGGGCATGTGTTCGTGCGTGCCCAGAATCCTAAAAGGAGAGTGGAGAGTGGAGAAGAAGGGATTGTAGCATGGCTCTTCCAGCCCCCTCCAGGGATAATTTCTCACTTTCTGTCTCTATTTCTCTCCAGTGAGTACATGTGCCCTATGGCAACAACCAAAAAGAAAAAGAAAACTCAGAATAATCCATTTATTTGGCAGTTTTCCTTTGCAGGCACCATTTGATGTTATTTCAAGCATACTGCTGTTGGTGTATGATCACTGAACTAAAATGTGCTCTCCTCTGGCCTCATCTCTAAATTAGCTGTGAAGACATCCATGCTGTGTTGTGTGTGTGTAACATTTTATGTATTTATTTTAAAGTTTATTTCTTTTATTATTATTTTTTATTTTGCAATTTTGCTACAGGGCATGTATACTCACTGGGGTGGGAGGAGAGAAAGTGAGAGAACATTCCCTAGCGGGCTGGCCATGCCACAGTCCCTTCTCCTCCATTACCCTTTTGGGATTTTGGCATGTACATACATGTCCCTGGCATTATTTATTTCTTTCATGAGAGAGAATGAGAGAAAGACAGACAGAGACCCCTGACAGGGTCTTGTCATGGTGTACTCCTCTCTCCCCCAGCCTACCAGCCAGTCAGGATCATGGACACATCTGCAGGCATGCTCAGCGTGTTCAGAGCCTCCCCATGTGGCACTAGTTTCATACAGCAATGGCCTACTGCCTAACCACGTGGCCAACATCTTTATTTATTTACTTATTTGAGTTTGCTTTGTGTTGTGTGGGCTTGTCAGTGTTATAGAGTGCAGCCCAATGAATGACCACCAAAGTCAGATTAAGGTTAAAGGGCGTCTTTATTAGCTGGCCAGCGGCTCGGGTGCTGAAAGTCAGAACTGCAGCCCCGACCTCAGTTTGAGCAGTCTTTTTATAGGGAGTCAGTTACCAGGGGGTTTCCATGCAAGCAGTTCCAGAAGCTGAATCAAGCAGGTTAATTATTTCTGAGGGCACTCTATAGACCTTTGTTTAATTGTCTCCAGGGCTCTGGGCAGGGGTCTGGTGATTGATAGTTACATTTCTAAGGGACAGCTAAACAAAAGGGTTTGGGGTGGGGTGCTAGTTAGCAAAGACAGTAGCAGGTACAGGATGTCGTGGTGCTGTTTTCTGTATGGCCAGCATGAGCTATTTTCTCATGGGAAGAGCAAGCAGGTATACAGAAGCAGACAGCCATTTAAAGGTAAGGGAACAAAATGGACGAACAGTTGCTCATGTGCATGATCTAATTTGCAGCCTTCCACACCAGAGAGAGACGGAGAGTGAGCAAGTAGTAGGGAGTGAGAAATCAGTCCCCAGGGGGATGGTCATTTCACAATCCCTTCATCTCTTCCTCATTCAGAGATTTTTAGCATGCACATGCGTGTGCTTGGCATATTTCTCAAGCTGCTGGGTCTGGGACTTGAACCACATGGTTGGCCATGTAGGATCCAGCTGCCTTAACTGCCATGCCATGGGCTGACCTCATACTATTAAGTTGTCAGAAAAGTCATGACATATTTTTCTATGCAAAAAATACGTCATGACTTTTCTGACAACCCGATATATTTTAATATTTTTTAGAGAGATTTTTCCTATAGGCTACATGTGCTCACTGCAGAGACAGAGAGACAGAAAGTGAGAAGTTACCGCCCCCAAGGGTCATCACAGTCCTGTCTCCTCCGTTCTCCACTCGGGATCTTGAGCACGCACACACGCGTGTCTGGCATGAGTTTAAGCTACCACGGCTGGGACCTGAACTGTGGTCAACTACATGGGAGTCCAGCAACATAGCCATTATGCCAACTGCTGGTTCCCATGGGTTGCCTCTAAACTCTCTTTTAATGATGCAAATTTGTCAAAACCTAGTACCTTTCACGCTGTCACCGGGCCCCCGCCGCCAGCGTCGCCCCGCACTCCCTCCGGGTTGCTGCTCCCGGCGCCACGGCC